CATCTTTCTTTTTGGTGCTTGACCTATGTGTGATTTTTAGTTGGTACTTAATGGTTGTAAGGACATGTTAATGTTAGTTTGCTTATCTAATATCATATCACTTGTGATGGTGTATGCCTTCATTTATTTGTTGTGTGATATTCATGTCATATGCATCACGATTATTTTTGTGACACCTTTGCACACCTAGGAAAGCATGCATGTATATGATTTGTTTCCTAGCACTTTCACTAAAATTGTGCATATATATGTGGCCTTTTATGCCAAATTGTAGATTCAAAACATATATGCATATATTTAGGGGGAGCTTGTCATATCCAAAGTGCCAAATTGTGAGCTTTATATGTGTTGTTATCAATCACCAAAAAGAGAGAGTTTGTAAGTGCAACAAATCCTATTTGTGAGTTTTGGTGAATATAATGACAAAGCAATAAAGAGCTAAGGATGTTTTGTGAGATTTTCATTTAATCATCGATGTGAAAAGTCCAAATGAGAAATGGGAACCCTCAATTATTACTTCAAAGCTAGTAAGTCATGCTTCAACTTGAGATAATTTCATTTTATTTTAACTTCTCTTGATCAGTGATAGGATGTCGTACTGTACAGAGGCCGGGATCAAAATTATATCACTTGCAGGTGTCCTAAGTGCTCAAAAGATCAATTCTATTTTCTCTAGACACCTTCCTAAAATCATCCTTGACTTATATTTTCTGGTCCAAGCTAGCTTAAAAATTCTTCTCAGCCGAAAATTCCTTTTCCTTCAACAAGAATTTTCGAAAGCCTACTCCTTTGAAATTTCTTGCTTAGCCTCCTTAAATTTCAAGAGCACCCCTCTCTGTTGAAGACCGCAAATTAACTGGAATTTTATCCCTCTCAAGCAAGAAATTCAACAAGAATTTTCGAAAGCCTACTTCTTTGAAATTTCTTGCTGAGCCTACTTAAATTTCCAGAGAACCCCTCTCTGTTGAAGACCGCAAATTAACTGGAATTTTATCCCTCCCAAGCAAAAATTCGGTGCGGTAGTCTTCGTGGTTCGCTGTCTTATATTCATTTTGGCAATGCCCTTTGTCCCGGCCTTCTCACTTGACAAGCGTCATGGGGCCATCCTCCTTATGACCATCTCTTAGGTATGGTGTTAGTTCGCTGGCCAAAATCTTAGGGAGGATGGAAGTATCGAAATGAGGGATTTCATTAGATTGATAATTGAACTCTTCCTCCTCCACTTGATTTTTAACTCCGACAACCCGCTTCTTCCCAGGGAGAACCACTCGTCGTCTCTTGTTTCTAGTGTCACGCACATAGAAGACTTGGAAAACCTGACTTGCGAGTACAAATAGAAGCTAGATCGAGTAATTAAGCACGAGCACACACCCTGTTGCATAGACCGAGATAGAATTAAGCACACGGATTCCATCACGCAGTTGTAATTTGATCATGGTCACACAATCCCAAAAATTAATTACAATGCTATTATTAGCAAATTTGGTAGCTGCTACCTTATCTATCGAGCTGAGCTGAGCACACGCCCCAGGCAGGACCGACGCCTATGTGGTTGTTGTCGGTGGACGGACCGTATGCCAAGAAAGGAAGCCCCACCCTCAGCGGACCAGATTTGGCCAGTCGGTGGCCTTAGCTGAGCTGAGCTGAAGCGGACCAGATTTGGCCAGTCGTTCAGCTCCACCCTCAGCGGACCAGATTTTGCTTTATTTTCTTCACATATCACAATGAATTAATTAGCTGAATCACCTGCCATTCATCAACCGGGCCGGGTCAGCTCAGGAGTTCGGACACCTGCAAGTAAACATCGATCGATCCGTTGTCTATACAAGCTATATGTCGTGCTAACTTGACAAATTAATAGAGAGCATGCACAACATGCATGGCATGTGGTAGTAGTGTGCCAATGGAAGTACCTTTATACTCTACTGCTCGCTGATCTGTACATGCTCTAATGTCAAGGATCGTTCAAGGAGTTAATATTAATACCACCAGATCCAAGGTTTAGGTAGGCCCTGCCCATTCGAATCAAGAAACATATTAATACCAAAGATGAAAAGAACAGATCCCGCTGCGTACTGTACTGGGTTAATTAGAAGTCTCAGATCGAGGTCAAGAATATATGTTTGCAATTAACCTCCACTAATAAAAGCCAGTCACATCATCACGATCCATTTCTCGCCACTTTCAAGATCAATGAGAGGGAAACAGAGTGAGTTTTTTTGAGCTGAGCTTCAGTTTCTGAAAGGGCCAAATAATATAGATATGGCCAGTCAGGTTATTATCAAAAGCAAGAAAAGGCCAGGTAGATGTCTGGGTTTTAGGCATTCGACGTCACAATTTGCTTGAAACCTTCTCAATTTTTTATCATAGCATCTACATGCGATAACATGACGCCCCGATAAGTTTCGTGATTTTCGGACTTTGTTCGGATTTTATATGATTTAAATACACTTTTCTCGCAAGTACCTCGTCATGTTACGTCAACAAGATTTCGAGCATCTTGTTGACGTAACATGACGAACAATTTGCGGGAAAAGTGTATTTAAATTATATAAAATCCGAACGAAGTCCGAAAATCACAAAACTTGTCTGGGCGTCGTGTTATCGCATGTAGAGGCTATGATAAAAAATCGGGAAGGTTTCGAGCAAGTTGCGATGTCGGATGCCTAAAACCCAGACATCTCCGCATGTGATCACCTATAGAGGCATGCGGAGATGTCTGGGTTTTAGGCATCTGACATCACAACTTGCTCGAAACCTTCTCGATTTTTTATCATAGCCTCTACAAGCGATAACACGATGCCCAGACAAGTTTCATGATTTTCGGACTTCGTTCGGATTTTATATAATTTAAAAACACTTTTCCCGCAAGTTATTCGTCATGTTACGTCAACAAGATGCTCGACATTTCATGCGAGTTCCTGGATAAGACCTCAACATACACCAAATATCATTAATATAATTTTTTAAATTACCAAATTCCATTATTACATGCACCTGCAGTTCAAATTCGAAGTATGCAAAAAAATTCAACGAAACGAAAAAAACTAACGAAATATACAAAAAAAAAATCAAAATTGTCCCAAATTTGAATAGGGAGTTTTAAATAAAGTGGGAAGGCCTCACAAAAAAATGAGGCAAAAAAAAAAAAAAAAAACAAAAAAAATGCTCGGGGAAGGCTGCCTCTTCCCCGAGTGCCTCACAAAAAAATGCTCGGGGAAGGCAGCCTCTTCCCCGAGTGCCTCACAAAAAAATACTCGGGGAAGGCAGCCTCTTCCCCGAGTGCCCTGTCCTGGCACTCGAGAAAGGGCCTCTTCCCCGAGTGCCTTGCACTCGGAGAAGATTTTTTTTTAAGTTTTAACGGCCTGGGCGGGGTGGACTGTCAAGTAACATGTTTCTTTGCCGAGTGCCGATCTTCCCCGAGTGTTGCACTCGGGGAAGAGGGCCTTTGCCGAGTGCTGCTCTTTACCGAGTACCAAGATCTCTGCGGCACTCGGGAAAGCCTCTCTTCCCCGAGTGCAATTCTTCTCCGAGTGGAACACTCGGGGAAGATTCTCTTTCCCGAGGGCCCGATTTTTTGCACTCGGAGAAGCCAGCGACACTCGGGGAATTTTGCCTCTCCCGTAGTGTCTGCTCGGAATCCATTTTGCTTTGTGGATCATGAAAATCTAGAACGGTTCGAGCTCAGATAAGCTTTCTTCATGGAAATCATCATTTTGTTCTGTTGGGCTATCCGGATCTGCCCTACACCTCAGATTATCTGATATCTGTTTATCTATAGACTTGGATTTGCTTAAATCGTAGCCTAGTAACTACAAGGAACCCGATCTGTTGGACAAAACTTTATATTAACCACACATCATCACCTCATTAGTACATACATATCATGTATATGTGAATCAGTGAACAAACTGTATGTTGTTTATTGCTAATTTCCCTATCTTTCCTCTGGCTCACGAGCCAAACGAGCCAGCTCGAGCTGGTTACCGAGCCGAGCCGAGCTAGACTTTTGGCTCATTAAGATAACGAGTTAGGATAAGGAACTGGCCTCCTACCGAGCCGAGCTGAGCGAGATAGCGAGCTATCTCCATATCTTGCCCTACAAATCATATCATTGTTGTCGTCATAAAACATATAAAGAAATCAAACATATAAAATCGTGGACGGGCAGAAGCCAACCGACCAACCGTGGGGCAGCGCGCACAGGACGGCCACAACGCTTACCGGCGGCAGTCTGGTTGAGCCACGGAGGCGCGGAGCTAGCGGAGCCGCGAGTGTGGGTTGCGTAGGGGCGGGTGGCGGGGTCGTGCGGCTGGGTAGGGGCCGGTCGCTCGTAGGGTCGCATCAGGGTCAGGTGGGAGCGAGGGTTGCGGACTCGCGCTCAGGGTCCCTTCCTCCTGGGCTGAGACGGGAGTGACAGGGTGAAACTGAAAGAGGGGCATTTGAGCCAAATTTTCTTGGGCTCTGTAGACTAGGAAAAATTTTGTACCAAAATCCAGGGTAGTCCTAGGTCTACCTGGATGACTTATTGGATCCGCCCCTGGGTGGCGCTCGCAAACCCCAGAGCTCCCTTGCGCCGATCATATCGGTCATCCCGATGAGAAGGCCTTGTACGTCGAGGAGGCGGAGTAGACGCCATCGGTCGTACACCGCCACACAAACCTGTCAGGCACTGGTGGAGAAAGATGCACCTCATCCAACATACCCCAAAGCATGACGTAATCGCACAGCTGTGAACAAGGCCGGAACGAACCTTCTCACCGGACCAGCCAGCAGCCACAAGTCACACCAGAAACTCGCTGATCCCCTGTCGCCGATGACTACTAGACCGACGTGGTGTCACATCTAGTTTTAAAAAACAAAATCGAATGCTAACTATATGCATGCAAGATAATGTTCAAATTTGAATCAATAGCCAACAATGTTCACATTTCATACCGAAACTAACATAGGAGGAAATATAACCAAATGTATCTACGTTGACTTGTCTTTTGTGGTGCTCATCCTTCAAAAAGCTCTTGCAACATCTCTTCCAGGTTCTGGGGAGTGAGTTTTGTGGTGGAAACTTTGTTGTCCTCAATGTACCTTGTATAGCCTAGAATGATTTCCATAGTGATAGCATCGCGCATTCTTTTTCTCAGCTCAGGATCCGGGACCTTCCACAACTTTTGGGTCGTACAGATTTTCTCAAATTCATACTCAAACTTAGGCAATGGAGAGTAGCTTTTCCCGAAGCAATGAGGTGTAGGATTGAGCAAACATGACAACACTGGCACCCAACACAGTTTTAGATAGGTTTGTATGTAGCCCTCGATTCTTCGATCAAGGGCTGCGAAATATGAGTGTAAGAAGTTGTTGCCGTATGTAGTTTGAAGTTGCTGCAATATGTAGGTTGAGTTGTTGATCAAGAACATGTATCTGAGGCCCTGGTCTGTGAAGGATTGCGACATTTTGGCAAGTTTTTCTTCAAGACAGGAGACCATCTCAATTGTCAGGCTGGCTAAAGGATTACTAGTAGTGTCTCCAGTCTCAGTGACATGCTTCTTATTACCAAGGCTGAACACAATTGAGGTCACTGACCAGTAGTTAGCCCATAGGTACCTGATGTGGTGGATTACAGACAGAGTGACCTTGTGAATGTCCGATGATCCCTGCGTAGTCATCACGGAGTCTTGGCCGTCCTCCTCCATGGACTCCATGATCAGAGCCCAGATCTCCTGCATTGTGCCCCATACGGCCTCAGTCGCCTTGTTGTCCTTGGCATACAAGAGGTTGATTATCTCGCCCCGAATCCTTTTAACCTCTTCCGACTCCGAGGGCATCGAAAGGAGTAGCACCTCGACCTCGAAAAAGGCATTGGACAGAGCGTCGAGCACACGCAGCAAGATACTGATCTTCTGGTATAGTGCTGGTGCTGGCACCCCACTGCCATTGGCAACAGAAAATTCACAAATGGTATTAGGATCCAGAGCAACTAGGAAGTCAACAAAAGCAAGCATTTTCAGCATGGTTTCTTGGATAAACCGTGCAAACTGAAACTGATCCGGAATACAGCTCTCAGCCTCCTCTGCCTTTTCTTCTTTCTGTATTTGGTTTTCCCCCCTTCTAATAATGTAATTCGACAACTTTCTTACCGATTTTCGAAAAACCCTTCTTCTTCTTCTTCTTCTTCTTCCTCCTCCTCCTCCTCCTCATCCTCCTCCCAAATACTGGGCATGCCCTCGAATCCACGGTCAGAAAAGAAAGATGGGGTGAGACGAATGGTTTCCATGATTTCGTTGAGAGCCCGGATCCAGCTTCGTGGATCCAAAGTATGGTCGGGCTGTATCACGGCTATAGACGCATCAACATCAGAGATGTGGAGCACCCAGCCGACGCCCAGCTCTGTGAACCACCTCTCCAGGACGCTCATGTCGCCGCTGTCGATTGTGCAATTCGCGGACGACGACGACGACGACGCACCAAAGAATTCCTGGACCAGGCTCTTGATGTTGTTCATCCGCTTCTTCTCCGTTTCTTTGCGGGCCTTGTTGAGGGTATATGTACCGTCGTCTTCGTCGTCGAACAAGTACAAGTGCAGGCTAGAGCCGCTAGATCTAGATGTGTTGGTGGTCGAGACTATGGTACCTGATGAGGAGCTGCTAATAACTGTGTTGGAGCTGAAGCCGGTCGTCTGCTTGTGGTTGGCGGAGGAGGACGGATCAAAGATAAGGCGCGCGCGTGAAGAAGCAACAACAGCTAGGTCGTTGGAGCTCCTTGCGTCGAATGATGATGGCATGGGCGCCGAGAGAGACACACGACGACGAAGCCTGCCGCTGGATGGGGAATCAGAGGTACGATCCAGCATACCAGCGGCTCTGCCGCCACTGCCACCATCCATGCTGAATTGCTGATTGCTGATTGCTGATTGCAGAAGCTAGCTAGCTACTCGAGCTAGCAACCGGCGATATGATCTGCGTTGACTTACACGGGTTTGGGGAAGAACTCAAGTGCTAGCCGCTAGCGAGGCTACGGGAAAGTATATATATTAGAATATACGAACTTTTTCCAAAGACGCGTTGGCAATACAGACGACCATTATATTCCCGACGGCGTTCATCCAGGAAGACGACGCGTTGTGATACCGTGTAGATGGGGCAAGCCACGGACCATTGATGCCGACTGCTCCCAGATCGTGACACCCTAAAATTTATATAATTTTAAAATAGGAGAAAATAATTTAATTATGTATCTTGTGACCATTGAAATTTAGAAAAATAATAATTTTGTTAAAAATAAAATCAAATATAGGTCTATATACATGTATGTGCATACATGCTGATGCATATTTTATTTGTGATGTTTTGGTTTGAATGAGATTTGCAAAATGATTTGAATTTTGTTGGCATTTGGAGTTGAAAATAGAATTGGAAAAAAAAACAAGAAATTCTTCCTCTCCTTCTCTGCTTTCGGCATGTTGGCCAAATTCCCGCCGACCCAGCTCCGTCCGCGCGCCCAGCTTCGCTGCGCTGCTCCCTCTCCCGCTCTTGGGCCGTCCCACTCCCCTTGCTTTCTCGCGCAGCCCAGCAAGCAAGCCGGCCTGCAGAGCCACGTAGCCGCTCCCTTCTCTCACTCCGTTCCGCTGATAGCCGGGCCCGCTCCCTTCTCTCACCGACACGACGGCCCCAGCGGTCAGTCGTCTTCCTCCAGCTCGTGTCCGAGCAGGACACTACCGTAGCCGCCGAGACCGCCTCCTCTACGCCGCGTCCTGGCATGACCCGCATGTCGAAGCCGCCCATAAATAGTGCCCCTATGTTGCGTCGCCCCATCCCAAGACCCTAGTCACGTGCCGCCACCCTCGCTTGAGCCGCAAGAGCAGCCGCGAAACCCTGGCGCCGCCGTCAAGATTTCCGCCGAGGTCGATTCATCGCTCCGCCGTTCCTCTGCCGCCGCGACCGCATCTCCGAGCTCCGCGAGAAGGTGAGTGACCTGCATGTGTCTCTCATGCTCTCTCCCTTGCCTTCTGTGCTTGTATCCGCACCGCCGATGTTTCTCCGGCGAGCTCAAGCCGCCCCATCTAGCACCGCGTCACCCCCGGGCCGTCTTCGCCACCCTAGTTCCCTCCATCGTATTCGCCTCGTTATCCTTTTGCTCCCTGACCTTCTCCCGAGCCAAACGGTGACCGGAGTCACCGATTCGCCCAACTCCAGCGATGTCCCGTCAATGGCGCCGCCGTCTGGACTCGCCGCCGGCCACCTCTCCTTCCGATCTAGTTCCATCCGTCCGATCTGGATCGGACGATCCCAAATAGGTATTACCCCTTCGCCCGTCGTTTTGTAAAAAGGCCCTTACAATTATTTGGATCTTAACCCGCCGTCCCTGCTTTTATGCTAAAGAGTCCCTGCACTTTTCTATATTATAACCCATAGTCCAATGTGCGAATCCATAATACACCTTCTTTTAAAAGCGTAGTTTCTTTTGGTTTAGATCCAAAATACGTTTTCATCTATTTATAGTTTTGCCACTAATCTTGTTTTAGCCATAAAATATTCATTTTAACTCCGATTTGATCCGTTCAACTTGCGTTAGGTTCATAATTCCATAATCTACATGATCATACTACTGTTAGGTATGTTTTCAACTTTTAAAATTCGAGGTTAGATTTAATCTTTTATTTTACTAAAGAAAATCTTGTTTAATTCATAACTTCTTCGTTTTAGCTCCGATTTTTGTGATCTTCGTGTCTGTGTGATCATAGTGAGACGTAGATTCATTTTACAAACTTTTTATCTTGATTTTATGTTGATTGGTGTACTGTTCTAATCTATAGCTTTTGTTTGCTATGCATGATTGCTTCTGGATGCTTGTATGTTGCTGTGATTATTGAGTATAGATCGTGAGTAATTCATGGGTGAACAAGAGTACTACTTTGACGAGCAGGATCAGTAAGAGCACTTTGTTCAAGGCAAGTATAGCATGGGATTATCCTTATTTCCTATCAACTTTAATACATTTAATTCATGTTGCATGTGTCACCTTGATAGGGATTTTCTAGAATTGAATTTATACCTTGTCTCCTATGGGATATGCATTGGGTAGCTTTGCTAGTGCTTAATTAAACCATGACCTTGTAACTTGACTAATGGTATATGCAATAAACATTAAAATATGACTTTTTAGCAACTTAGAAACAGGGGGCTGGAGTGTTTAGCTACTTTCTAAATGCTTCAGATTCCTCTCCCTAAAGACTTATCTGTAAGTGATCATCTAGGACTTATAGTGCCGCTGTGAGGGCTACATGGCTCTGGCTTTAGCTCAGTATGAGGACATTTTCTAGCTTGTTAGAGGTTACTTTTATTGGCGTAAGAATGGCTTGCCGAATCGGGTATAGTGTGGCCTCTGTCCCCATGAGTATAGGCTGTACATCAATGTGTCATCGGGAAGGGGGGCTCTATATCTATTTGCTGAGTGAATCTAATAGCCCTAACTTGTTAGACGATCCTTTAAAAGGCTTCATAGTGAACCATGTCTGCTCACCTTGGAAGTATTTTGGGAGTTATAAACCCGGGCATATGGGTGTCACGACTCACAGTGAAAGTGTACAACCTCTACAGAGTGTAAAACTGGTATATCAGCCTTACTCACGGTCACGAGCAGCCTTGGAACATTTATAGAATAGATGATCACTAAGAATTATCTGTTTATGTTATTCATTATTTGTGTTTACATTGATCATGTGTTTTACTTTGGGCTTGAAACAACTTGTTGCTACTCTTATGCTAAAATTGTGACAATTAAAAGCTGAATGCTGTTAAACCTGTGTCAAGCCTTTTGAACCTCATGAACCCCATGTTACACTTGTTGAGTACGACACGTACTTATGGTTGTTTATTCTCATTATTTGGATAAAAATCTCGGATGGGTAACAGATGGCTATGGTAATGATGACTTTCCTGATGAATACTAGACTTGTGGTCAACCAGTTGACATCCCTATGAAATGGAGCTTTCGCAAGAGATCTTTCTTTATACTTCCGCTATATTTATGTGAAGACTATGTCTTAATATTCGTGATGTAATAAACACTTGTGATGATACTATTTATAATTTGTCGGCTTATGTGTGTGACTGATTTCTGGACGCACATAAGATTATGCATCCCATTTTATCCTTAAAATCGGGTGTGACACGGACGGATTGATGAGAGTATAATTCTTCTGATTACTTCTTTCATGTGTTGTCGGTATGCTGATGATCCTCTCAATTTGAGTAAGATTAATTTGGCCTTTGCAGCACTAACCTCAATTCTTGCTGTTTCATTTATATATATGCTATGAAGTGCCAAGTATGATTACTGATTAGAACTTTCTAATCTTATCTTACTGTTTGAAACTCGATCTAGCGCCTTGGCACATTCCGGGTCTTAAAACCCTTCTGGACCTAGTCTTGTTCTCTACTATGTTTGAACCCTGCTGTTTGCTCAAACAGAGCAAATGTACAGGTCTAAATGTTTGGTTATAGCAATTTAATTTGAGCAGTAATCGTTGATTCCTTATGCTTACAGTGCATGATTTAGGGAGATACTAGTTCAAGGGCTTATTTGCATAGATGATTGACTAGTTTAACATCACCCTTTGTGCTCTGGTCCAAGAGGAGGTTACAAATTCAGTCTCTAGTATACCAACACCTGATGAGAGCACAAACATGATTGAAAATGGCCTTTTACTACTTGATTCAGCTGTATCGAATACTTGTGCCTGTTAGCTCAATTATATGCAACAGTGGAATTGAGCTACGTGTTTAATGTGTTTGACATTTTTTTTTCTTGTATGTACCATTTCTGTATGCATTGAATTTGCATTGTTTGATCATTTTTGTATTACATGGAATTTCCTGGATATATCTATGTCACTGATTCTGGTACTAGGCAAAGGATACAGAGAAACTCCATGAGGAATTACCGTCAAAATCAAGCATTTTTAGGCTCATCTCACCTGACCTTTTTTAACACCTTGCTTCTCCTTTTCCCTCTGTCATTTTGGGGCATTTTGTATTTTCTCAACATATGTACAGGTAAACAGAAAGAGACATGGGGAGCTGAGATTGTAGAAATCGCATTGGTATAACCAAATATGTGTTTGCATACCTGTGTAGTTTGTTCGTTGTAAAAGGCATCCAATACATTAAAACAAGATGCTGCTGTTTACTGTTATAGAACCACTTACTGATCTACCTCATGTGAAAAGAAATCTGATTATGCTTAAGCTTTTGGTTAATTCAGTATAGCTTAAAAAATCTCAAAACGAGCATAACCAAAGTTTTTAGTTAGTGTACACAATTTCATTTGGACAAATGACAAGTGAGACTTGACAGTGAACAATACAAGATGCTATGATTTGATGGCTTTGTTGCGGTACTCCCAAATAACTGTAAACCATTCATTTAATTAGATCGGATGCGTAGAATCACCTATTATTTTCTATGAGGTAATAGATAGAATATATGTTTTGATTTCTAATTTTGTAAATTAGGATAAACAGCAGGTGATGTATGTATTCTAGTAGGCGCGGCTATACTTTGTTGGGCTCTATGGTTGAATAGAAATGATGTGGTTTAACAAGACTAAGTCTAGTACTTATTTGCAGGTAATTTTCAGAGCCACGTATTGGATCCGTCAGGAGTCCCTACTGCACAAGGAGGAAGACCGGCCGTTGTTCAAGCGTGGATGTAGGAATTTCAAAACAATGGTTATGGCGGTTTTGGTAGAGTTTAGATGACGCTTTCGGAATCGAATTGAAGCGTAGGCCTTGTTTAGATATCCTCAAAATTCCAAGTTTTTTCACTCTCTCTCCATCACATCAATTTTTAGCCGTTTGCATGGAGCATTAAATGTAGGTAAAAA